AATCATCTTTAAAGATTTGACTAATAAGATGTTGCTTTTTTTTATCTTGGTCCTAGCTAGAGAGAAAAAGATTCAATCTTGATGATGATGATGATGAACATTAGACCACAACTCAATGTAAAGCAATGATTTTTTCTTCTGACCCGTGACCTTCATTGTTGCAGAGACTCTGAAACTAGCTTGGTGGTGTTGGTCAAATCTGAAGTAAGAGAGGAGGAGAAATAAAATAAAGAGAAAAGAAACACAAATTGGGTTTCAACAGTGTTGTAGAAGAAGAAGAGGACCCCACAAAATGGAAGAGTTAGATACATCACATGCAGTTTCTCAGATTTTACCTCAATCTGCTTGAACTACATCAACTGTTGCATTCATGTTCTGACTCATCTCCTCACAGTCCCACTCACTTCAATATCATCTGTCAGAGAAACACCATAATGATTCATACCAAGTTAGAGAGATAAAGACATAACCTTTTGAAGCTGAGAGGTGAGAGCTTTCATTTGAGTTTAATTTGTGTTTGGTGAGGAAGTAAAAGGAGTAATGAAGGGAATAGAAGAAGAAGCAGAAGCAAGTTTAGTTGGATTAACCATAAGAACTTCATCACCAGCAAGCTCTTCAAGTAAGAAAGGTAAAGATCTTCTTCAAACACATAACAATGCTTCAGATTCATCTCCAAGTATCAAAAACTCTCCTTTCAATTCACCTTCTCTTGTGTCCCCACCATCTTCTGCTTTTGTTTCCGCTTTGCAATCTCCTTATATATCCCCAAGAGCTACTACACCCATTACCACTCACAAGCCATCACCGCCTCTCTCTTACAAAGGCTCACAATCTGAAGATGTACCTAGCAGCTCCTACACTCCTCCCTCTGACCAGTACGAGTTTTCTGATGAACAACCATCAGATCGGAAGCTCAAGTTATCAGCTTGTACTCCAGATCCTGCTCCTCCAAGGATCTCTTTCTCTTTCCCTGTTCCTAGGGTTTCTTTGGCTAAAGTTTCTGTTTCTTCACCTGCAACTAACACCAAGCTCAGGAGCTCTGATGTCTTCATTGGGTTTCATGGACAAAACCCAAACTTGGTGAGATTCTGCAAATGGTTAAAGTCAGAGCTTGAGCTTCAGGGAATCGCTTGTTTCGTTGCTGACAGAGCTAATTATTCGGACACACAGAGTCATGAGATCGCCGACAGAGTTATCTGTTCTGTTACTTATGGGATTGTGGTTGTCTCTTGTTCCAGCTTGCTCAACTACCTTAGCTTGGAGGAGGTTAGGTTCTTTGCTCAAAAGAAGAACTTGATTCCAATTTTCTATGGAACTGGTCCTTCTGAGATAATGGGTCTTCTCAACTGCAATGCCATAGATAAAGAGTGTAAAGAAGCCATTGATGGGTTGATTAAGTCACATGAGTTTAAACTTGAAGCTAATGAGAGTAACTGGAGAAGCTGTGTGGGAAAGACCGCGACGATTCTCAGGGCAAAGCTTGGGAGGAAGAGTGTGGCTGATAAAGAGATAGTGGAAGGGATTGATGAGCTTCCATTTCCGAGGAACAGATCTTTCCTTGGAAGAGAAAAGGAGATAATTGAAATGGAAATGGCTTTATTTGGTAATGGAGAGTATCTTGAGTCTACAACACCAAGCACCAGAGGAGAAGCAACTGAGAGGAAGAAGAAAGAAAGATTACCCGGTGGAGGAGGTTGAGGTCCTCAAGCTTTTCGATGAGAAATTGGGACGGTTGAGCTATGGTCTTTGGGTGGTTGGATCATTGCTTTCAGAGCTTGCAATTCCGCCTTCTGCACTCTTTGAAGCTGTAAACAAAATTCAAATCGAAGAACGTTCAGCATCGCCTTTTCTAAACGTAATTGATGAACAATACTGCAAGTCCAATCCATTTGTTGCAAAGGTCTTAGCATTCAGTTTGGCTGTTTTGGAGCAAGCTGAGGGAAACAGAAACCTTCTCTCATTAAAAATGCTACTCGTGGGAGCTTGGTTTGCTCCTGTCCCTATTCCGGTTAACTTGTTAGCTGCAGCTGCTAAGAACATGCCCACAGGTGGCAACCGGTTCAGCAAATGGAACAAATGTCTGAGTCACACATTTGCTTGGTGTGGTGGTTGTGGTTTAGGACGCAGAAGCGAAGAGGATGCTGCATTTTTACTAGTCAGATTAGGACTAGCGAGGATAACAAATAGACAACCTGGATGTTGGATTCAGTTCCATCCGATAACTCAAACTTTCGCGAGGAGACGAGACTACATACTTGCACCAAAGGCGACGGTTCAAGGCGTGAGGAAAATCGATAACCCGTTGTTGAATCTCGATCACCTATGGGCTTCAGCTTTCTTAGTATTTGGATTCAAATCAGAACCTCCTTTGGTCCAACTACAAGCCATGGATATGGTACTTTACATCAAGAGAACAGCTCTTCCTTTAGCAATCACAGCTTTCACAACCTTCTCGAGGTGCAACTCCGCGCTGGAGCTCTTAAAAGTATGCACCAACGTGTTAGAGGAAGTGGAGAAATCATTTGTGTCTCAGATACAAGATTGGCGCCAAGGCTCGCTCTGTTGGAAGAAGAAGACTAACAAGAAGGTCGATGAATACGTGTGGCAAGATGTTACATTGTTAAAAGCTTTATTGCTGGAGACAAGAGCTAAGCTGCTGCTACGAGGCGGGCATTTCGATAGTGGAGAGGAACTATGCAGGACTTGTATCAGTATCAGGACAGTGATGCTTGGCCATAACCATGATCTCACATTGGCTGCTCAAGAAACACTAGCAAAGTTGGTCAGAATGAGAAGCAAGATATGAAACAGACACAAACATTTCTCCTGGTTATTATTTCCACATTACTGTAAGCTCAGTTTTGTTGAAGACATCAAATCATGCAATGGCTACTTTAAACCTTTTTAGAACAATTACATTACCAACTTCGTTATTGATCACAGTATCTTTTTAATTGAGTGTAACTAAAGAGAGCCTCAAGCAAAACAACATTCAATGCACTGAATTCTCAAGCCAAAAACTTTTACCTAATAAGTTAGCCAATCAATGCTATATCAAATCATGCACTGAATTCAATGCTATATCTCAATAGCTTTTGTAAACTTCTATTACCCCTTTGAGATTAATATAATCCATCAGATGACAAAAAAAAAAAATAAGTTAGCCAATCAAACAAAAGAGATAACACAATCTCAGTAACAAACAGAATTGGAAAAAGGACAAATACTCGTGTAAGAAGCTGGGACCAAACACAGAAAAATAGGTATGGGTTTAGTAAACATGCAATTTAATCAGTGTCTGGGTTTTGCCAACAAGTGTCACTCTCCCCTCTCCTGTTACTGGTCCTCGGAGTTCACTGCTCAGTTTTTTGTTTCCTTTTCAAAGGACTAAAAAATTCTCACTTGTCATACAAATTAACCTTAGGTTTTTATCTGGTTTTGGTTAAACACAAGTTAGTCAGAATCCAACACAGGTTATGACTCAATTTCTGCCATTTTTGGGTCCTTGAATTCTCTCTTAAAGCTTTCAGATTTAGTATCTACTAACTAATAGTCAAACACTAAAAGCGGTGACTTTAAACAAGTTGGTCTCAAGCTGTTGTGAGATATGTAGCTTGATACATTGTATCTGAAAATCAGATGTTACATCATGTGAAGAAAAATGGATAGAGCAAGTTGGTTCCTTCACTGTGAGAGACAATCAACCAAGAAATTAATCAAACAAAAACAAACAAGTAATCAGATTTTAAATCACACTCAATTTCACAAATCACAATAAACCAAACAAAAATTAAACTAAAAATTAAACATATGTCACCGGAGATTAGGCCCGATCAAGCCTCCGTTAACAGCATCATCTTCCTCAAGGAAAAGCTCGTCCGAGTTTCTAAGAACAGAGTGAATAATGCACAATAGCAAGCCAACGCCGACACCAACCGCTAAGTTCACGGCGGAGCTAGTGAACCATACGGCCCAAACGGAAGCCAAGACTAGAAACAACACCACCGTACGATCACCGACCTGAAAGCTCCAGAGAATAAGTGGATCTTCTCTGAAGAAGTGAAAGAGAAGCCACAAAACGATGATTACGCCGACGACGATTAACGCGACGGGATTAGCTGTGATGAGAGCGAACGCTGCGCAAGTGGCGACGACGATCGTGTAGTTGACGAAGAAGTAGTTGAAATTCGTCTTTGATCGGAGGAGAAGAGAGGAGAAGCTCTCCGGGAGAGAGAAATCGCCGGAGAAGACTAGTTCTGACCAGGGACGGTGGCGAGAGATAGCGGAAGTGAGATTATGGATTGATCGAGAGATGACGTCGCCGGTAGGAAGTGGAATTGATGTGTAGGTTGTTGTCGGAGGAGGAGGAGTCATATTCTTCCGGCGAGTTTTCCGATTTCGTTTACCGGTTTGACCCGACCCGAAATACCACCCGTGGATAAAGCTGGGGCTGGCTCCGTAATTAAAGAAAGGTGTGTCTAACGACTTTTTTAGTCAACCACTACATTATTCTTTGCACCAACCAATCAAATTTCAACACATTATTTTAAAAAGTTTAATTAATCTAACAAATCAAAATTAAAATATACATACACACCAATAAACCCTAAACCTTTCAAATTAGGCATGGGCTTTCGGTTATCCGTTCGGTTATCGGTTGGATCCATTCGGTTTCGGTTCTTTTGGTTCTAAAATTTAGTATTTATTCGGATATTTTAAAATTTCGGTTCGGTTTCGGTTTTAAAATTTAGTATCCATTCGGTTATTTTTGAGTATTTTCGGATATTTTAGGATATATTTCGGTTATTTTCGAGTATTTTTATTATTTTTATATATTTTTCAAATATTTTTATTATTTGGTCTATAAATAACTAATTATTTTGAAAATATAATTGTATTTCGGGTGTTTCGGTTACCCGAAATATTTCGGTTCGGTACAGTTACGGTTATTTCGGTTATAAATTTAGTATCCATTCGGTATTTTCAATTTTCGTTCGTTCGTTTTTTTGCTTCGTTTCGTTCGTATATTCGT